AAACGCTCTTTGAGAAATGCTATAAATAATAAAAATGTTTATTTATTGTTCTCTCTCTTTCACAGAGAATTTGGCCAACTGGCCTACGAGCTGTTGGACCAGTCTTACAAGCATGATGAACAGGTGGCCATGAAGCTCTTAACATATGAGCTGGTCAACTGGAGTAACTCCACCTGTCTGAAGCTGGCTGTGGCTGCTAAGCAACGTGACTTCATTGCCCACACCTGCAGCCAGATGTTGCTCACTGACATGTGGATGGGCGGCCTAAGGATCGGAAAAAATCCTGGCCTCAAGGTTGACGTCACAAAATGTTTTCCTTTAGCCATTCATAAAAAATATTATCACTAGTTGTAATATTCGTAGTGATGCCTTCACAGTGTAGGAGTAAAATAACTTACTCTAACTTAAATTGTGATCATTTTCTCACCTAGGTTATTCTGGGAATAATCTTCCCTCCTTTCATTCTACTGTTGGATTTCCGTGTTGGAGATGATCATCAAGCACCTGGAGGCAAAGAAGATGGGAAAGACAAGGAGGATGACGCAAAATCCAGCAAGGTTCACACTGCTGTTTCTTTCTTTGTCAAGAGTGAGAAATGATGAGCTGAAGAATGAGAGTTTTGCTCTTGTTGTATTGTAGGACCCTAATGCTGATGCAACTTCCCACAAGGGGGATGAAGAGGAGGGCAGTGCTAATGTCCGCAAAATCCCCATTGGAAAAAGGTTATTTGAGTTTTACGATGCGCCATTCACCAAATTTTGGTTCAACACTGTAAGTTTCCTTCACGTAAACAAGATCAATCATAAGATGTTTTAACTTAGAGTGGAGTGACTTAGGTGCGTTGGCATTTTGGTGTATTCCTCTTCCAACAGATTTCCTATCTGGGCTATTTGATGTTGTACAACTACATAATCCTGGTGAAAATGGAGCGATGGCCATCTATACAAGAGTGGACTGTCATTTCATACATCCTCACACTTGGCACTGAAAAAGTCCGACAGGTACAAGCTGTTAAATACGATCAATTTGATCTGATTCGAGTCATTATATGTGTTAGTGATATTTTGTGACTTTTAAACCCTGGTGTATAGATTCTGATGTCAGAGCCGGGGAAGCTGAAACAGAAGATAAGTGTGTGGATGGAGGAGTACTGGAACATCACAGACCTGGCTGCCATTTCCACCTTTCTTCTTGGGCTAATGCTACGGCTGCAGCATGAACCTTATATGGGCTATGGCAGAGTCATCTACTGTATCGACATCATCTTCTGGTACATTCGTGTATTGGACATCTTTGGAGTCAACAAATACCTGGGACCCTACGTGATGATGATAGGGAAGATGGTAATAACATTTAGGGCCTCACTCTGAGCTGAACAAATCATGTGAAACTCACATGACGAACAGATTGAACAGAAGTTCACACTGAGTTCAATTTTATATTTGTTTCTTGTCTTTCAGATGATAGATATGATGTACTTTGTGGTGATCATGCTGGTGGTGCTTATGAGCTTCGGGGTGGCTCGGCAAGCCATCCTTCACCCTGATGAGGAACCAACGTGGCGCCTGGCCAGAAACATTTTCTACATGCCCTACTGGATGATCTATGGAGAGGTTTTTGCGGACTCGATAGACCGTAAGACTAGAATTCATAGTAAGATTCTGTTTCCTGATTCTGGGCAGATGATCAGTGTTATGTTAATTTCTATGTCTTAAATTCTGTGATGTTTAGTACTAATAGATTATTACACTGTACACCCCTCAATAATTTGTCTCCCTCTGCTGGCACATTTATAATAGGCTCTTAATTCAATACATGGTAATAATTTTGCATTGAGGAAGAGCAGAATAGGTTTTATTATCTCAACTCCTCAATCTTGATCATCTGCCTTCAAGTTTTTTTCTGTCAGTGTTTCTTCTGTCAGGGTGAAGAGGTCAAGCAACGATTAAAAAAGCCTACAATTAGCAGGGTTTTTTTCTGAGGAAGTTGCTGTTTGTTTTAATACACTTTACACTTAAAATGAAAGTTGCATGTTTGATTCCATCAGTCTTTGAAACCAATACTCCATATTCTTGATTTTGCTTTAACAAAGATTTAAACAAATTTAAAATTTCAGATTAACCACAAAAAATAAAGTAAAAAAGAGGCCAGAGATATAATTATATTAATGTGTGATTACTGACAAATTGGAGAAACATTTGTATGACAACAGTCCACTTTTGCATGGACATCAGCTTGACCTTGACAGAAGTACGCCATAAAAATCCTATGTTTATTGATTTTAACGCTTTCTCCATGTTTCTGCGTGACTGCAATTTTCTGGAATTTCTCTCAAGTCTATGCAATGGAAATCAACCGTGAGTAGTCTTCAAATCAAGAATGCAATTCGAATCAGTTAGCTAAAGATCTCAGAATAAATTCTATATCAATAACCTGCTCTCCTCACAGCCCCATGTGGTGAACATTTATATGATGAGGACGGGAAAAAACTGCCTCCATGTATCCCTGGTGCCTGGCTCACACCTGCTCTTATGGCCTGTTACCTTCTCGTGGCAAACATTCTTCTGGTCAACTTGCTCATTGCAGTGTTCAAGTACGTACATGCTCCACTGTCTAACTGCTCTATAACTTTACAAGAAATATCTTCTGTTACAGTGTGTACTGACTGGTCTCACTCGCTTGTCCCACAGCAACACTTTCTTTGAAGTCAAGTCCATTTCCAACCAGGTGTGGAAGTTCCAGAGATATCAGCTGATCATGACTTTCCATGACCGTCCCATCCTGCCACCACCTCTCATCATCTTCAGCCACCTCTACATCCTCTTCAACAGGCTGTTTCGGCGCTGTGCCAGGAAGAGACAAGAGGGAGAACTGGATGAGAAGGATCGCGGACTGAGTAAGTCAGCTCTAATGATACAAAAAAATGTACTTTAAAAAAAGTTAAAATTATAATTAAATGATATTATCATATTAATAAATAAAAATCAGGTTGCAACCCATAGATACAGTATACACTTACAGAACACTTACAGTACTGGTCCTGTATTAAACACACTGTCTGATATCATGTCATGATTTGTTTCTACAAGAGCTGAGGCTGAATCCAGAAGAGCTGAAAAGTCTGTATGAGTTTGAAGAACAGTGTATGGAGGAATATTTCCGTCAGAAAGAGGACGAGCAGCAGTCCTCCAGCAATGAACGCATCAAGGTTACCTCAGAAAGGTAAACCCCCTTTTCAGGTGTAGCTTATACATGTCTAAACATGTTTACTACGGTTTATACTTACATAAACATTTGTTTCTCTGGTGTTCTTGGCAGAGTTGAAAATATGTCCATGCGTCTGGAGGAGGTAAACGAGAGGGAGAACACCATGAAGGCCTCCTTGCAGACTGTAGATCTGCGCCTGGCCCAACTGGAGGAGATCCACGGACGAATGGCAGTTGCCCTGGAAAAGCTAGCAGGGGTGGACAGGCTGGAGCTGACCAGAACCTATTCACGGAACTCCTCTGTGTGTGACTCCTCCTTACTTCGCCAGGGCAGCATTAACAGTGCTGATGGTTACAGTCTTTACCGCTTTCACATGGACATGGAGGAGTTTGCAGCGAAGCAGAAGGACACAGATGAGACAACGAAAACTGCAGTAGAAAGACAGAAGAGTCTGCGGCAAGCCTCCAGTATTTGTACTATCAACCCCAAGGAAGGTGGTCAGACCTTAGAGGTTGGTGGTTTGGAGAGATCGCGACCAACTTCGTGCGTGGACATTCTCATTTCTCCATGTGAACAAAAGCCTGCTTCTGTAGCATCAAGTCAAGAGACATTAACCAAACAAGGCAGCACATTGCTGCTAGATAGACTAACGGATAAGGATAGGCTAAGGCCTTCTTCCCCTCCAAAGAGGGCTAAATCCTTGAGATACTATCCAGTCGAAGACCAACCCACCTCTCCTTTGACAAAGAGGAGGGCTATGAGCACCATAATTGTGAGCCCACCTGATGAACCACAGGACGCAACTGATCCCACACAGAAGCCTCCTGCACTGCCGCCGAGATTGCCATCTTCCCCAAAGAGGACAAAATCTTTGAGATATCTCCCTACTGAAAGCCAAAGCCAGACGTCCCCTATCACAAAGAAGAGAGCCATGAGCAGCATCATCTACAACCCAGATGAGGCAGGTGATGATCTGCAGAAAAGTGCAGACTACAGGTCAGTGGTGGAGCAGGTCACTAAAACACCAAAAGAGTGGCCAGCAAACTTGGAGTACCAGGTGCAACCCGGCACTTTAGGTCACATCCCAAAGGTGTCAACAGTCAGAACTCTTGCCCAGCAGTTTCAAACTGGCACTGCACCCGCAGAGCTTAAAAAAGAGGAGAATCTGACTGATTACGTTCCTTTAGAAAGGGAGGGCGCTGTTCCAGCAGCACAACCTGCGGAAGAACAAACAAAGATGAAGGCCAAGAGAAACCTCTCGGACACGACTGAGTATCTAACCGTAGCTGATGCAAAGTATATGCCGTCTCACAGGTCACACAGCTGGAATGAAACTGAGAGGAAAGCAAAGTACTCGATGGTTAGCAAGGAGCTGAAAGCCTCTAGCAGTGATAGAGACCTTGTTGAAGCCTGCAGGGTGGCGGGAGAGGATGTGGGAAAGAAGATGGAAGCAGAGAATAGAGAAGATGATGCACAGGAAAGGAAATAACAGCCAAAAAGCAAGGGGATCGATGAAAGCAGCAACAGAGGACATTAAAGCAGAATGAGAAAAAAAGGAGGAAGAGGAACTGAACGCTATCAGCAAAGCAGAGAACTGTGAAAATGTATGTTAGCCTGCCATCGACTGGAGATCATTACTGACTGATTACTGAGGTTATGAAAGAGTAGTCACAATAATGATAGAAATAGAATAACAAACGAAAAAAAACATCAACTAACTCCTTTAAGATTTCCAACCATACAGTAAATGTTAGTTGTCAGTGCAGAGTAGTAAAAATCAACAAAGCTCTCTCTTTTAAAGATCCACTTTCTTCTTTACTTTTCATTGGTGTAACATACAGTAGGTTACAATCATTCACATTACAGCTTTCCCCAGTCGTCGTGTTTTAATGTTGGAGATGTAAAGAGAACCTGTTGGATGTCTACACATAAAGCATACACACAACAGTTAGTTGTGCTAACATATACACTGTGTGATCAGCAAAAACATGAACTTCCTATATACCACTGACACTATATAATACTGCCTGTAAACATTTTCTTTTCAAATACTGTAAAATGTGCTTAATAATGATCCACTTAGAGGTATCCCTACAGCTTTCATGCACATACTGACAATCGCATAATAATATGTGGTAAGTACAGCTCCCAAGAAGACAAACAACCTTTTTCATTTTGACACAGAAACCTGTATAAGTAAAGGTTTCATTAAAGAGAATAAAAATTGATTATTTATACATTTTTTTGTCTTTTCTATGACAATCCTGTGACTCCTTCTAGGCAGACATGAACAACTGGAAATGATGCCGGTGCAACAGGATACAACAGGCATATTTTAACAAACATGAATTACACAGACAAATACAATCAATGCTGAGATCTGATATGTCTGACAGCATCATAGTAGTAAATATTACAGTAGGTAGTGTATATAAAACAATGCTACAACTTCTGAAATTCTTTTTTTTTTTCATTTATAAGACAACTATGTGTAAATTAGATATTCTCATGGATCCAACAGAGGTATTATTAGAAATGCCAACAGGATCACTGCCTTGTGTGAGCAGACACTGCAGGGCCAGCTAAAAAATAATCCCAAAAAACAATGCTGGCAATCACTCCAAGTCTTTTGCATGAGTGGATATACAGTATCAGGCCTCATTCCTCACTGATCCTCTTCTGGTCAGCAGATCAGGATGGCATCTCAAACACTCATGAACCTGTGAGCTTCAGCTGGCAGTAAGGTCCTCTGAATATGACCACTGCTGCCGCTGCTGCAGGGACATCCTGGATGCAGGAACCATCCGCCAAAACAGCAAAGTCACACAGAGCCGTGGACACTACAGAGGAGCAGCCTAGAGGAGTGAACACTTGAAGAATTTTATTCTTTTCGACTTTTTCTCTGTGATCTTGAGTGGTTTGCCCGATCCTCCGGCACTGTTGTCAGTCTGGTGAGGAAAGATGTGAAAGTGGAGAAGTGTGATAAATACAGTATTAAACAAGTAGGGCTTTACATTAAGTGCAGCATCTGTCGAGGGAGTAGTTTTAGCTTCACAAGTGGGATGAGGGGGGACACATTAAGTCAGAGGTTCGTCCAAAAAACAAACAAACAAAAACAAATCTTAATGCAACTTCCTCATGCAATTTATATTCAGATCACCAATAATTTAAGTCACTCCCCCTGGCCACAGTGGAAATTAAGCACTTGGCATCTGTTATAAGAATCTCTTAACCACTTACTGTCTTTGAGCTCAGATTGTGTAATATGTCTCTTCCCATAGTATAAAAAGCCTAGAATGACAGAAAACAAAATGTTAAATGTGCATTTTCATCATGTTACTTGGTACTAACAGGGTTTTCAAAAAAAAGTGCATACCTCTTCCACATTTAAGCTAGACTTTGCACTGGTCTCCAAAAACTTCACTCCATAATCAATAGCCAGCTAAGGGAGATAAAAAAAAACTATGTTAGTGTCACTCAAAACAAGTTAAAGTGCATTTCAGGTGGTTTGAGACTGTTTTTAAGTAAAAACTGGCTGCAGAGACTCACTTTTTCACCTCTGTCTTTGGACACCTGCCTCCTGTCAGTCATGTCACATTTGTTACCCAGGATCATCTTCTCCACATCAGACGAGGCATGCTGGGAGAAGTGAAAAGACTCATTAGGCAAAGCTGTAGGTGTGTTAGTCTCCGTACACAGTGACAGTATCAAGCAGCAACAGGCTCACCTCTTCAATATTTCTAATCCAGTTTTTTATGTTTTCAAAGGACTTCTCATTGCAGATGTCATAGACCAACATGATGCCCTGTGAAGACACAAACAGTCATCCTCACAAACAATAGACCCGGTGATATATAAAGCCATAAGGAGGAAGTGTAAGATGAAGCGCAGACTCACCATAGCTCCTCTGTAGTAAGCTGTGGTGATGGTGCGAAACCTCTCCTGCCCTGCAGTGTCCCTGAAAACAGCAAATCAACATCCGTGGTAAGCAGGCAGATGTGTGTCAGATTTGAATTTAAAAATATAGAAAAAAAGCCTACCAAATCTGAAGTTTGACCCTCTTTCCGTCCAACGATATTGTTCTGATTTTGAAATCTATTCCTGCATTTGAACAAGCAAACAGACAGAGTGGTATGAGCTGATACTCACTACATTGATTAGTTACTTCATATTATAAAACATTAGGTGCACCGGAAACCAGGCACTTCACAGGCTGTTATTCCTATGTCAAGTTGTAGCAGGACATAATTCAATGTCACAGCAAAACTAGCAGCTTTAGTACACCGTAGAGCTTTGTGGAGGATATAACTATATTATAACAATTCTGAATGGAACAAGGAAGGCTTCGCATTTCAATCACGTTTCCAAAGGTCGACTATCATGATTACATTTCTCATTCTCATCTCGTTCTATATTTAACCTTACTGGTGTGTCGATGGGCCATCAAGGGCAGGAGATGATTAGAATTTGTTTCTCAGTCCCATTGTCTTGCTCCTATGCAGTTACTGCCCCTTTAAACACAGTGGGTCTGTATAATATAGAGCATAATAATAAAAATATATCCCCGATAGGTATTACAACGACCATACATTGACCACCAGTTAGTGCAATGCAGTGAAGCACTGTGTCCTGTTCATATGTGCATTATGCATTACAGTCATATGTATCCTCAGGGGCGGCTGCAGGGGTACTCACCTATTGTGGATATGAAGGTGGTATTGAAGGAGTCCTCGCTGAATCTGAACAGCAGACATGTCTTGCCGACTCCGCTGTCTCCGATGAGCAACAGCTTGAAGAGGTAATCGTACGTTTTCGCCATTTAGACACACTGTACGGACTCCGACGTTTCGACAATATAAGGCCGTATCGAGCCGGGATCCCCCGTCTGGAAATCCTCAGCTGTCTGTGGCAGACTGGCAGCAGACCGGTGCCGAGATGAGTGACGTCACGTTTTGCGTTGCATTGTGGTCTATGTAGTTTAATGGGGGGTAATGGGGGTAGTAGTGGGGGTCAGGTTTTGCTTTCTTTTCTTGTTGTTTTAAAGATTTGTTTTAGTGACAGATGCTTATTTGACAATGCAGTTTCAATATACAGAACTTAATAATATAATAATAATAATAGTAATAATACACCAACTTAATTATGCATATCACTAATAAACCAAAATAAGAAACAAACACGAACCCAGAAACTATAATAATAATAATAATAATAATAATAATAATAATAATAAAAACAAAAATAATAACAAAATGAAATAAAAGTAATAATAAATCCGAATAAAATAAGGGCAGCATCAACTAAGGTTTTGCTTTCTGATTCAATTTAATTATGAAGTGACAGCAACTTAAAATATAATTATGGGTTTCTTAAGTCTATACCTCCAGTAATGACCATTTCAAACACAAAGGTCTACATGAACAAGTGTTTGGACTCAATATGTCTGCCCTGTATCAAACTATACAACCAGACGCAGTGCACCCTGCATTTTGTGTGACCACCTACTTGACACCTTAGGACACTTACCCAATGCTCGTTATTTTAATATTTATTTTATTTTATTTTATTATTTTATTTTATTGGTTCTTTTGCATTTTGCCTCCTGTTGTTGTTGTTATTATTGTTATTGTTATTATCAGTCTGTGGATACTGCTGGAAACTGAAGTAGTTCAGGAGAAAAAGGGCAAAACATGCTCCTCTATAATGGGAAATCTATTAAAAATATATACTATAATTACATCCTCAAAAAGACAATCTCTACTTCCTTGGCACAAGAACTTACTGTTTTTTTTCTTTTTTAACAAAGTTTCAACGAATGAATTAGGTTACCACGTTTTAAGAGTATGTTGTTGACAGCAGAGAGAGATATCTCAGCCCCTCTCAGCTCTGACAGTTCCTGCTGCTGCACACAGATCTGTTTCAGTCCCACATCTGCGCAGGAAGACGAGCCTAGCACGGTGAAAATGCCTGTGAGTCCCAATGTGTTTTTGTGTGCTAATTTCTCTAGTTTAACTTCATATCTACACAGCTGTCGGTGCTTGTTTATTGTCGAGTCTTCGCCGTCAAACGCAGTGTGTTGGCGGTGTGAAACCTCGCTGATATGCAGCAGCAGCAGCAGCACATGGACTGAAAGTTAGCTAACGTAGCTCTCTGTCGCGGCAGTAGGAGGAGGGGGGGAGGGGGGCGACTACTTGCTGAAAACGCAACGGTTTCAAGTGCGTATGCGATATAACCTGTGGCGGAGACATGTCGACCCAAGAAACAGTCGGTACCTGTTTTGTTTTTTTAAGGCTCTTATTGTGGTTTCTTTTAGCTGATGGACACAAAGCCAGTTTAACCTACAGTACTCAGTCTGTGTGTTATAGTGTTTGATATTGTTCATTGTTTGCTAAAACGTTAACTAGCTGATATCTGGACTTACTTACCGTCTTGTCTGTAGATCCAGAAACAAACTTCTTGCCTTGTATGTCGCAGGAGTGACATTGTTATTAATAGGTTCATTATTAAGGCGTTTATAAGTAATGATGAGATCAGAGTAATGGTTGATACGCTACAAATCCTTTTAAAACCACAGTTGCACTAACTTAAAACTGATTCAATGTTTTTTCCCCCGTTTATTTTAGTTGGCCAAGGACCTCCTCCACCCAACTATTGAGCATGAAAGAAGGCAACATAAGAAGAAAAGACTTGTTCAGAGTCCAAACTCTTACTTTATGGATGTGAAGTGCCCAGGTAACGTTATATTAATAGAGACAGATTTAAATAACATGAATAATTAACCAGTAGAAGCAGATTAGGCTTTTGGTGCAGGGATTTCAGGTCGTTTGTTTTGTTGTGGCATCCATAAAAACATGTATAACAGTACATGTTGGGCCTGTTGTTTGTTTACAGTTTTAATACTTTATTGTCTTTGCAGGCTGCTACAAGATCACCACCATGTTTAGCCATGCGCAGACGGTGGTACTCTGTGTGGGATGCTCCACTGTGTTGTGCCAGCCCAAAGGAGGAAAGGCCAGACTGACAGAGGGTAAAACATTAACCAAAACATACAATATAATACCACTGCCTTTAGCAATAATAAGTAAAGGGCTGTCTTAACTTGTTTTCCTTTTTGCTTTACAGGTTGCTCTTTCAGGAGGAAGCAACATTAAAACGGATTGCACACTAAAAATTGTCTGTAATTAAGCCGTGCTGTGGATAAATCCCATATTTTTTCCCCCATTGATTACAATGTAGTTGTGCATTCACTAATGACAAATCTTGTCACTGTACAGATGTTCAACTTTTATAAATTTATAAATTAACTAAATTTGTAATATTCAAGATGGTAAGGTAAAATCTCATGAAGTCAATAAAGAAAGCTGTTATAAAAAAGCTGATGCATTCTGGGACTTTTATTGAGAAATAAACAACAAAAGAAAATGTCATGACTGAAATTACCTTCACAGAAAGCATAGAAAACATTTGTGCCACTGATTTTTTGAGACAATATAAAAAAAAAGGACATGGATCTTAAATAAAGATAAAACACCAAAATACAGTCTTGGTAAATTAGGGTGTGAAACGAGTACTCTGCTTGCATATTTGTGTCCCAGGAGAGGTCCATCAATAGCGACAACAACAACAACAACAACAAAAAAAACCCNNTTTTTTTTTTTTTAAATCACACACTTTGATCACTGGGTCTGACATTGCACTCCGCCTCTGGGTCCCTCCTCGTCTTCCTCGTAAGCTTCCCTACTGTAGTTTTTCTCTTGCGTCCGCACATCCACCTCACAGAGATCCACCTCCTCCATGTCATCCGTCATCATCACGTCGTCCCTGGGAGGAAGCAGTCTTTCTAGCTGGAACATGAGATGCTCCGGGAGCCAGTGTTTCTCTGGGAATTCCACCTGCAGGATGAATTACAATTGGCACAAATTCTCTACAACGAAGAATCTGATGAAGAGATTTAAATCCAGAGTTGTATCACACTGGCGAGATGTTTTGCGTTCAGTCTTACCTGGAACTGAATGATAAGCTGTCCCCTTTCGAACGGATCCTTGTAAACTGGCATGCCTTCGTTCTGAACACACTTGACGTCGCCGTGCTTTATTACTTCACCTGTTGACGAAAAGACACAGATGTTCATGACATTTTAATTACAAACAGCGTCGAACAAACAAAGCATAGAGGCCGACACTAGAGACAAGCTGCTCCCAGTCAGTTACCTGGCTGTGTGCTGATGATGAGCGATCTGTTGTCTAATGTCCGAATGGTCTTCCTGAAACCGCACAAGGCCTCAGCAAGTTTGATGTCCAACTTCATGACCAAATTTTCGCCTTGTCTCTGGAAAACAGGGTGATCCTTCTGATCCAGCACAATGATCACGTCCCCGGGCTCGAGTCCAGGTTCCTGGTCGCCTTCTCCATTGAATGTAATTCTCTGACCGTCTTTCATACCTGCACAACACATTTATGTCCAGTTTAGTTTAGACACACATTTAGACTACTAGCTTTAGCTACTTTTTTTAAATGTAAGTATCCTCCAGCGTTACCTTTGTCAATGTTAACTTCAAGAATTTTCTTCTTGCGTTCTACTTTGTGTCCATGGCAGTTCTTGCAGCGGTCCTTTGAGTTGAACTTCTCGCCCTGTCCCTGGCAGTCTGAACACATGCTTTGGATCTGCTGAATCATGCCCGGCCCAATCTGTTGCACCTTGATTTGCACTCCTTTACCTTTACAATTTGAACACTTCTCCAAGGCACCTTTCTTACCACCATAACCTGTAATGAACAGGACGATGTCATTTACTGAACTACTGAACCATTTTTATTGTATATGGGATTCAAATCCAAACAATACTACGTACCTTCACATTTTTCACAAATGACGTTCTTCTGAAGTCCAAGCTTCCTGGTGGAGCCTTTGTACATCTCCTCCAGTGTAACACCAAGCTGGTGGACAACATTCTTCCCTACAGGAAAAGCAGATATATGTAAGTTTAAAATGTATATAATTTTAGCCTGCTGCTTTATATTACTTATAAAATGTATAAAAATGCATCATACCCTTTCTCTCTCTCTGCATCCTTCCTCCACCTCCAAAGAACATGTTGAAAATGTCCGTTGGGGAAGACCCTCCACCCATGCCTCCTTCTTTGATTGCTTGTTCTCCACCTTGGTCATACAAGTCTCTCTTCTGTGGATCTGACAGCACTTCATATGCTTGAGATATGAGCTTGAACTGTGGAAATAGAAAACGAGGTCACATTTGAAACTAAGACTGGATTTTAAGCTTTAATAAATAATGAATCCTTCCACTATTCTCTCTAGGATGCAGTGGGCGAAGCATTCAGACCCTTAACTTAAGTAGTAATACCACACTGTGAAAAAAAAATGTACTCCATAAGTAAAAGTATTATTTAAAAAATGGACTTAAAGTTTCAAAAATGAAAGTAAAATGGTTCATGTTAGTGTTTTATAAATGTTTCTGGATTAATATTAATCATGCATTCAAGTTTATTTTGCATTATCTGCTGAAGATATTTAAGGTAGAGCTAGTTTAAATAGTACACAGTAGTAGGAGAGTTTTCTCAGCACACAAAGGACACTTGATCCTTCAGTTTATAAGCAAAATCACCATATTTGGAGATACACGATTTTTACTAGGACAGAAAGGGACGTAACCTTTTTGTAACCTAAAAAGTATTAAAGCTGTCATTCAAACAGTGGAGTAGTAGTGGAGTGAAAAGGCAAACACTTCAGATTTTATGGTGACACTGAATGTGCAGATGCTATTTATAAATACATCCGCCTAAGGAGCCCTTAAGGACGGCGAAAGACAAGTTAATTCATTTCATTTCAGACATTCATTTCACAACCTCCTGACAGTGTAGCCTGAAGCATTTCAACTGTGTCGGGAAGACTAATACTCCTGCCAACAGCGGAGCAGCGACTGGATCTTTCCAGAAAGTTCCCGCTGTCAATTCAACCAGGCGTACAGTTTAAAATTAGAAAGAGCATTTCTAGCAGTCCATAAACGGCTGCAGGGACACCCTAAATGTCTCCAACTCTCAATGTGGCTTACTCACCTTCTCTCCTTCACTGGGGTTCTTGTCGGGGTGATATTTCAAAGCGAGTTTTCTGTAGGCTTTTTTGATTTCCTCCACTGAGGCTGTGGGGCTGACGCACAGCAGGTCGTAGTAGCCTGTTTCGTGCACCATGGTGACAACCTAGCTAAAGACACAAACCAGAAACACACAACACATTAATACATAAAGCTGACACTTTATTATTTTGTCCAAGACGTTAGCGTCGCGACCCAATGCTACCTTCAGCTTATATTAATATTCCTCAATAAACTACATTCACATCAGCCAGAACGTTCGCTACACTTGAGTTTAAAGACGTTGATATAACGTTAACCAACGGCTAGAACACCAGCAAGGGTTCCACAAAAAGTAACGTTAACCAACGGCTAGAACACAGCAAGGCGTTCACAAAAGTAACGTAACCAACGGCTAGAAAACACAGCAAGGCGTTCCACAAATAGTAACGGTTAACCACGGTAGAACACCAGCAAGGGCGTCCCAAAAAGTAACGTTGACCAACGGCTAGAACACAGCAAGGCGTTCCACAAAAGTAACGTTATGGCAGCACGCGTGGTTAAATGACAGTTACTGTCAACCAAATATTGTTATATTACGTTAAGATTGAATGAAAGTACTAACATTTATTTGCCGCGCAGCTTAATGTCCTTTCAAATTATTGTATTACTTACCACTTGTTATTGCTACCGTAGCTGTCGCTTTCGCTCGGTTTACTCTGAGGCTGGTGGAGGAAGAGGGCTGGCTCTTATAGCCGCTCCACGGTGCAGAACTTTCTGGAGAGCTCTGAGAACAGGGGCCGGATGTTTCGTTGGCTGGACCTGAGTGAAAAAAATGGCAAGACTAATGGAGAGGGAGGAGGGGTTGTGGAAGTTACCAGATCGGCTTGTCTTAAACGTGTGTAGATAGGCCTGGATATGCAAGATTAACCTTGACCCAATTTCTTGTCTGCATAAAAAAAGTCTACACACATTGCTTTGGTTTGGTTTAGTTATATAGTTTTGTTAAGCAATGGAGGAAGATATTTTGCTTAAAGTGCCAATGCAACAGTGCAGACATATTCCTGCATTCAAAATGTTTACTTGAGTAGACAAAAGTAGCCTACTTGCAGCATAATACTACAGTCAGCAAAATGTACTTAAAAGTACCAAAAGTAAATACTACTAGTACTAGTGCTAATTATGTAGAATGACCCAATTCAGAATAATATACAGGCCTAGGCTATTACATAATTTGTGATCTGTTATTTCAGCAGCTGGCTTGAGCCTTGAGAGTTGGATTTCTGGAAGCAACTATAGCTGCTTATTATACTGTAGTAGTAGTAGAAGTAGTAGTAGTAAGTTTTAATGAAGCTAACATAAAATATATAGTCAAGATTAAACAATGTGCATGAAGCTTGAGATAAGAAATAAATACATGGAAACATTGAGGTATAGTCATAACAAGTTGGTTGGTAACAAGACAGATGTAATCAGAAGAGAGCAGGACAGCTTGAGTCAAGGTCAAATAAAAAGACAATGTTCAGGGTTCAGGGAGTTATAGGAATGTCACAGGGATAGAGAAGTATTTCACAACATAATTGGATTATAATTATTGATGCATTCATGTGTAATCACGTTAATGTCGTAGCTGGTAAAGACAGGGCTTTTAACCACTGTATATACTGCTTGGTAGCTTATTGATAATAATAACTTTACATCTATATATCAGAAAGTTTTAAAAAAGGCCTTCTAAGTTTTACAGAATCAACTACGTCTGTTGACATAAAAACCTAATTTATTTATATATATTAATTTATAAGTGCCACCTGTACATATAGTCATTTATTGTCTTAATACTTTTATTTGATGTTATTTTTTTTCTGATTATGCTTCTTGAATTTCATATATATATATATATATTCTCCTTCTATATTCTTGTGTTTTTTTGTTATGCCAATATACCGAGGCAAATTCCATGTATGTGAAAACCAACTTAGCAATAAACCTGATTCTGATTCTGTCAGATAAAAACAACACTAACAAAAGATGCTTTGGACTTGCTCTGCTATTTGTTTATTAAAGTATTCTTCTAGGATATATAGGGAGATAACTGTCAATAAGTAATAAAAAAATAATCAAAATAGCCATTTATCCCTGGGCTATTATCCCTTCACACTACATTAACTAAATGAGTGAAAGTAAAGTATTCTGCGTGAAAGACTAAAGCCAGGGTTTGTTCGTTCTGTGCTTCATGGTGGTTCAACATGGGGCCTCCATGGAAGGTGACCTGTGGCATCTGGTCACACATAACAGCCTCATTCTTACAGGTACACCACACACACATAACGATCCTCTCTCTCTTCTTCTGGGATTTCTAGCAGCACACCCACATCACAATCTGCCTCACACTGGACCTTTAAGTATGTAAACACTACATCAATTTGGAGTTCCTTTACAAGAAACTCCTAATTGATTAAAGTATTAAAGTCCTATGCAACTTTTTGAATGAACCTGAGATGTGCCTGTAGTGTCAATAGAGTCACATATAAATGCAATAATTCTCATCAGATATAAAACCTTGTTTGAAGTTGTGTAGTATGATTTGTGTTTTACCTTTCTGTGTGAGATTTAAGGGGAGATTATAATCACCCTGTTCTACATATGAAAAGACTGAGCTAATTGAAATTCTGGACATGGTCTTGAGCGATCGGTCCAATGCAGTGCACACGTGGACTTTCTGACTTGTTTCGCAATAGACTTCGTGAGGCATGTTGGACTGCAGGTCTTTTTAGTTCTAACTAAAACTAAAGTGTCTAAAAAAATTGTTCCACTTTAGTTTTAGTTTGCACTTGGCCAGCAAGAATAGATTGTATCCAGAGGTTTGGTCGTATATAACCTGAAGCCACACCACCAGGACATCTACCACTAACAGTATGGACATTCCTGATGAACAAAAGGGAGATGATCAATCTGAGAAAAGGTAAGAAGCCTAAAATGAACTTCCTTGTGTCTTTACTGTAATGTAGAGCATGAGGAGATGCTGTAGTTAACATTTAATCTGTGTATTTTCAGTTTAGCTGTGGGATAAGCTACAATATTACATTTTAAATTCAAATTCACTACAATGCAAAAACTATTGTGATGAGGCTTGGAACCGATTTAGTCACTTTTGTTAGTCTATATTCTTTAGAGTATCAATAACACTTTTGCCCAAGTTTTTGAATACATTTCTTGTCCACTTTGTATTAAAGTGGCCCTCTGCCAGTTAAACGTCTCTCTCATTCAACAGTTCACTGCAGTATTTTGTGATGTAGAAAGTTTTAAACCTTTATTTCTGAATTCTTTAAATCTAACAATTTATAAATATATATCAAAATAGTAGTTTTAATGAGTGAGGGTGCTCTCAGCTTTCAGCCTTCATTCAATATATTCTGTCAAACAAAGCAAAGGGGATTTAGCTCTGCCAAAAGCCTGACATTGTGTTGGATAAACAATGCAGCTGAAAATTAGACCCATGTGATGAAATGAAAACAGCAGCCAAAACCGTTGCCACAATGTGAGGGTGGTGTATATATGAGCTGTTTCGAGCCCATGTTTCCTCTGTGTGTTCCAGTGTTCAGGAGTCTATGGCACACAAACAGACAGATAGTGAAGAACATGCCTCTGTAGGTGAGTTATGAGCACATGGGTTTGCTGAATGGTGTCCAGGGTGTCCACTGTGATGGTCGGATTATGGTGGAAGTCCTACGTCAATAGACCCTACTGGTTCTGAATAATATTAAGATGTGGCCTTTTATTCCTCTGTGGGAAGGACTAGATTTGTTTTTCAGGATTTGCTCTCTCTCTCTCTCATCTCAGGAAAGAAAAACATAGAAGAGGAGTTTGTTGGCACTCCTCTTGCTCCGGCTCATTCTCTTTGGACCACTGATGCCAATGGCTCAGTAAGACTGAGAATAGAGGAGGGATGTCCAGAGGAACCTATCACAGTTCACCAAATGTTCAAAGCCTCAGTTGAAAAATATGGAAACATGTACGCACTCGCCAGCAAGAAGAACGACAAGTGGGAAAAGATAACCTTCTTAGAGTATTATCAATTCTGCAGGAGAGCAGCCAAGGGCTTTATAAAGGTAAATTATTCAAAAAGAGAAACTTATTGTCTATAGTGTGTACCAGCTGACAACTACTGAGTACTATCAATGGTCATTTGCAAAAAAGAAAAGGTTAAAATGTTTGTTAATGTGTGCAGCTGGGTTTAGAGCGATTCCATGGAGTGGCAATACTAGGATTTAATTCAGCAGAATGGTTCTTCTCTGCAGTCGGTGCCATCATGGCAGGGTGAGAAACACAAATCCTCCACCAACAACAGCCAGTCTCAATCAGCCTATATATGGACCCAAATACACAGTTTTTTTGCCATTATCATTGTTTCATCTGCTATTGTTGCAATGACACATTCACTCTTCCTCCTGTGTCTATAATGACCTCTGTTCTTCCTACAGGGGGATAATGACAGGAGTTTACGCCACAAACTCACCAGAAGCATGCCAGTATGTGGTTAGTGACTCCAAAGCCAACATTATTGTGGTGGAAAACCAGAAGCAATTGGATAAAATCCTACAGGTACTGTTACTTAAATATATAAAAGGTATTTACATAAACAAAACAAGCTGTGGTATATATCTCACTCTTAATACCATAGATACGTGACAGACTGCCCCATTTGAAAGCCATAGTGCAGTACAGTGGACACCCCCAAGAGAAGATCTCCAACCTTTACTCTGTAAGTTCTCCTGACACCATGTGAAATGATACGGGTCAAAGAGATTGTAGAGCCCAGGCTATGACGGTGTATGTTGCTGTTTTGGGACAGTGGGAGGAGTTCATGGAGCTTGGTCTAGATGTTTCTGAGGAAGAACTGGATGAGATCATCCGCAGCCAGAGAGCCAACCAATGCTGCATCCTGATCTACACCTCTGGCACCACAGGCAAGCCAAAGGGAGTCATGCTCAGTCATGACAATGTAAGTTTTCATGTGACTATTGTCAAGCTCTTTGTATTCACACTCATTTGTTATTATAACTATATGCAAGCAGTTGCAAAAGCACAAGATAGTAAACAAGGCTTCTGTTTTAATCTATGACGAATATTCAGATCACATGGACAGCAAATCACGCCAGCAGGGTCGGGGACATGCAGCCGGCCGACACTAAACAGGAGTCGCTAGTGAGCTACCTGCCTCTCAGCCACATTGCCGCTCAGATCTATGATCTCTGGACAGGCATCCAGTGGGGTGAGCTGGTATACTTTGCACAGCCAGATGCCTTGAAGGTAAATACAAATGCCTAGATCACACAAAGGCCTTTTAAAGTAAAAAAAAAATGTGTTTAAGAAGAAACTGTTTTTCATCAAATAAACCTTTCCTCAATTAAAAGGTAAAAGCAATGAGGTAAGGCCTTACTGTGGTTACAACTGCAGAGTTTTTGTCCCAACTGTTTTCCCCAACCTCCCAAAAATATTCATTTATTACAAATTCTTTTTAAGCTCTTTATGTACTTAACTCATAGGGAAGCCTGGTAACAACACTGCGAGAAGTTTGTCCCACATCCCACATGGGTGTCCCACGAGTATGGGAGAAGATGATGGAGAAGATAAAACAGGGAATTAGTGAGTGTGGATATGTGAAAAAGAAACTGGTGACGTGGGCAATGTCAGTCAGTCTGGGAGAAAATCAAAAGTGTATGCAAAAGTAAGAGCTGATGAAAGGGTATACAATAAATGACCCACCAAACAACATACATAAATGGATTTTTTACAGTGAGATGATTTAATTATATTGATATTTCACTTTTAAACATTTTTTTTCAGGGATGATGAGAAATCTTTCCTCTTTTTCCTGGCTGACAGCCTTGTGCTGCAGAAGCTTCGGGCCGAGCTTGGCCTGTCTTGCTGTCAGAAGTTCTTCTCTGGTGCAGCACCAATCAGCAGTGAAACAGTGCAGTTTTTTCTGGGCCTGAATATCTGTTTGTATGAGGCATATGGCATGAGTGAGAGCACGGGACCTCACTTTATGTCAGGTCCCAAAGCTTACAAACTACCAAGGTAAAAATCCAAGGGCCGTAAGAATTGTATGTAAAATTAAATGCATTGAATGTTAATTTTACCAATATTAAATAACAAAAATAATTATTTTCTTTCACAAAGCTGTGGTAAGGTGGTGCCTGGCTGTCGATACAAAATGGCCAACATAGACTCCGAGGGGACAGGTGAAATTTGCTTTTGGGGACGTAACATTTTCATGGGTTTTCTCAATATGGAAGACAAAACGAGAGAAGCTTTGGATGAAGAAGGGTGGCTGCATTCTGGAGACCTGGGGAAGATAGATGAGGAGGGTTTCTTGTACATCACAGGGAGAATAAAAGGTAGAGCTATCTGAGCAAATAAGGCAAGAAAATTGCTAGTCTTAGGTCACCAGAGACTGTCATTATCCCTATTATGAGTCATAAATAGCTTAAACGTCAGGGTGTGCTGTCTCTCTTTTCAGAGTTGATCATCACAGCAGGAGGGGAAAATGTTCCCCCTGTTCCCATAGAGGAAGCAGTGAAGAAGGAGCTACCTTTCATCAGCAATGCCATGCTCATAGGGGACAAGAGGAAATTCTTGTCAATGCTTTTGACCCTGAAGGTAATCTGCAATTTTTATCCAGTTAATGAAAAAAGTATTCTTGACATGAAACATATCTTACAAAAAGACACATTATGTAACTGTATATTTGCAGATAAACCTGTGCATGATGAACCATTTAAAGAGATAAATTAACATTTACACAGCAGCAGTGTGCACACTAAACAGTCTCTTTACATTTACTTAAAATACTGCTTAAACTACAGTTTTCATAATTACTAATGATTTATGTGGAAATATATAAGATAGCAGGATTTGAATTCTGCATTCCAGTGTTGTAGCGATACAGAAACTATGGAGCCTACGGAGGAGCTGAGTACAGAGGCCACGGAGGTTTGCCGACAGCTCGGCAGCCAAGCAACCAAAGTGTCTGACATCATAGGAGGTAAAGACAAAGAAGTGTACCGGGCAATTCAAGAAGGAATCAACAGAGTCAACTCTGCAGCCACCTCCAATGCCCAACGCATACAAAAGTGGACTATTCTCAGAAAGGACTTTTCTGTTGTTGGAGGAGAGCTGGGTAAATTTAGCAGAAAATCACTCAGTAGACAGTTTTATATACTAAATAGATGGTGTTTTTTGTATTAAAAGCCATACAAGTTTGAGACTGCAGTGAACTATTGTGCATTATATTGTTTTCTCATTCCAGGTCCCACAATGAAGCTTCGTCGCCCTGTCGTGTTGGAGATGTACCACAAGGTCATCGACAACTTTTATAAGGAATAGAGTTCCTAGAGAAACTACTGTGTAGCTGTTAGTATGTAAATCACGTGTTACTTGCATATCTCAACATTCTTGTGGACATGCATGGAATTTAATTATATGTGTCTTATGTATAGAATGCGTAAATAATAGAGAAACCATATTTAATTCTGATATATGTAAGAGTAAATATTGAGGATTAATCACACTTACTATGACAATACTGATACCATTTTGATGCATCTTCTTGTAGGCTGAAATATTTTGTTTCTAATTCATATTTGTTTCTTGTCAACAATTTATTTTACTGCTTTGACATCATACCAGATACTTAACCCATTATTTTGTGTAAATATTTGGTGGTTCAGTATACAGTTTATACCAATTCTGATAAAAAATATGGACATAACTTCAATAACTGCAATCGTATCACAGGGTCATCGTCATTTGTATAACACTGAATAAAAAGTCTGACATTTTTGGTGTCATTGTAATATTCACTTTTCTTTATACATTACATACATTATCTGTAGCAAGACAAACAATATAATAGGAAAAAAAGACATAAGACTTATTATATTGTAGTCAGTTTAGCCCCAATCTATATTTGACCCACATAAATGTGAAATATATCCACAAACATACAGTAATTGAAGAGTTTGACTTGTTGACAAACATTTTAAGTGTTTTTCAAGTGATCATGTTGACAGATTGTGTTTAAATGTTAAAATAACAGTGTCAAATACATTAGACATGAGGCCAAATTCAGCCAATAAATAGACAATATCCACCACAGATTAAACAGGTTAGGAATGAATTGCATATCACATATACAATAACTGTTGGTCGAGAGTTTTAAGACAGTGCTTTTGAGTGTGCAAAGAGAAAAATAAATCATTCAGGATCTCAAGCTCCTGAGACTTTTCTAAATACATATTCTGGTTTAAAATGTGCAGATACAACATGATACGATGAAATAAAGAGACCCACACCCTAACATTTAACTCATGGCCCCACCAGCATCCATTTAGTTCATATCCCGCACTCTTTGACATATTGCTTCAGTGAATTCGGAGCACTTGGAGTTTCCTCCCAGGTCTTTTGTTAGAACCTTGAAGAAAGATAAAGTGTTACGAATCAGAATGGGAACACATAACCAAAACAGCATGTCTTCATTTCCTAAAAAAACCCATTACCTTTTTGTCTCGAATGGTGTCAAAGCAGGCAGTTTCAATCTTGTTGCCATGGCTGTGCAAGCCCATGTGCCGCAGCATCATGACCGCACTGAGCAGCAAGGCGGTAGGGTTGGCCATGTCTTTTCCTGCTATATCTGGGGCGGTTCCATGAACCTGAGAGAGGAAAATTAATCACAATCACATATTTGATGATTAACATTTCTAGAAAGATCATATTTCTGAAAAGATAAATACAAACAGATGAAACTTTTATGTGGTTCACTAACACATCTCACACCATTGATTTCTACTGCGTAACCTGCGTCTGACAAATAAAAAGAACATACCGACTCAAATATGGCAACACCATTGGCGCCAATGTTCCCACTAGGAGTTACTCCAAGACCTCCAATTAGTCCAGCACAAAGGTCGCTGAAATTGTAAACACAGTGACCTTCAGATTTATTCATGTGCATTAACGGTGAAGTTGCTCATTAAATGTACTGTACATAGGCACATTTTGTTGTTACACATCATTATTTTTTTTTAAATATGTTGCTTTTTGGTCCAATTCAATGATGCACAAAAATAATGGAGAACATGTCACCTATCTTACCTCAAGATGTCTCCATACAAATTTGGCATCACTAATACATCAAACTGTGTGGGATCCTGTACCATCTGTAAAACAAGTACAAATATTGTTATGTAATTACGTAACTTTTCTACCTTAAAGGTGCAGTGTGTAGGATGTAATGGTATCTAGTGTGTGTTATTGCAGGTTGCAACTCACTCACTTCACCCTCACCTTCCAAGCACGAAGGAGAAACTATGGTGGCTACGAAGTGTGAAAAACATGAACTATCTAGAGCCAGTTTTTTGGTTTGACCCTTCTGGGCTACTGTAGAAATATAGCGGTTTAACATGGCGGAGCAGCAACGTCTGTAGGTGATTATGCACTAATGAAAACATATCTATGAATATTATACTGTATTTCAGCCAATAATTCCTCCTAAATGTTACACACTGGACCTTTGAACTGGATCATATTTTATGGAGAAAAAGTATTGTGGTTTTCTCTCTTATGTCCACATGTTGTTTAATGAGGAATGTTAAATATGCAAAATGTCCTTTTCTTATCCATCTAAAACATATACACACACTAAACAAATTTGTACTTACATTAAGGCACACAGTATCCAAGTACATCTCAGTGAATTTTACATCCTTGTGCTTTTCAGCAGCCTCTCTGCATTTTCGTAGGAAAAGCCCATCAGACATTCGCCTGTAAAAAAATTATTACAACCATTTAATGAGAGAATGACAATTTACAAAATATAATAGTTTGTTCTGAATACAACTTACATAATATTGGCCTTATGAACAGCGGTAACACTGGCCCTCTGATTATTTCTGGCATATTCAAAAGCATACTCTGCAATGCGCTGGCTGGCTTGCTCTGTAATGAGCTTAATACTCTGTACAACCCCATCAACAATCTGAAAATATACACATCCAAGAGAGAGTCAGGTAAAATCTTTTTACTATAAATGGTGTTTGAACGATTTGGAAAACAAAATACTAATGTAAAAGAAATAGACCTACGTGGTGACTCAGTGACAAAATAATCAAAACTGTAATCAATAAAATGTAACTAGAAAAGTAACGTGTTGTTAAAGGGTCTTACCACATGTTCAATCCCACTGTATTCTCCTTCAGTGTTCTCCCTGATAGTAACCAGGTTCACATCAGTGTAGGGGGTCTTGTAGCCCTCAATGGACACACAGGGGCGCACATTGGCATAGAGGTCAAAGGTTTTCCTCAGCAACAGGTTCATAGATGGATGGCCAGCAGCTATTGGCGTCTTCAGTGGACCTGTAGATTGTGAAATAATTTAAAATGATTCACTAGTTCACCTGCCAACACAAAAACAAATATGGATTATGGAGGGAAACAATCTAAACCTCTATGAGATTGTTTGAGTCCCTAGAAAAGACAATATGTATGAGGATATCATCATCCCCATGTGCAATCATTTACTGGCAATGAATCCCATTTTAATATTAATAAGTATATTAGGCAGGTTAACCTTTTAGGCCAATTTTGTTCCGGTCCATTGATTCTTTAGCATCAGGAGGGATCATCCACTTGCCACCTGGTCCTTGGATGGCTGTAACATTTCTCTCTTCCCACTGAATAGGTGCCTAAATCAAAAGTGTATGTACAGCAAAATAACTAGATTAGTTTGCATTATGTAATATTTTAAAGACTTTAATTGTGTTTTTTATTTGATCATATTTTCTTAATATCAATGCCGGAGTAATACAAATAAAGTGCAACCTAAAAAGAATATTTTGCTAGTTAATGTTCCGTGGACAATAATATTATTTTTCCGCTTCTCCAGAACTAACTTTAGCTGCTTCAAATATCTTCATAACAGCATCGGAGATCTCCGGACCAATTCCATCCCCGGGGATCAAAGTAACCGTTTGAATCTGTGAGGCAGAACAAAGACACATAACATTCAGTGACACGAGAATAATGATGTGCTTCAGAGATAGTCATTATTTAATACAAGCAATAAACTGCATTAAAAATGTTCAGGAACATTTTGCTGTAGCTCTGGAGGAAAGATGCGTACCCCACGGGTGAATATCCTGGGTTGTGGAGGCTCTTTCTTCAAAGCTCCAACCACCCATGACACCTGACGATCAAAAAAGATCAAGTTCTTACATGCACAAAAAAATAAATGAAATATAAGCCGTTTCACTTTAACAGCATAAATACAATACAATATTGTTCTGTTGTATATTTGTCATACTAGGGAAAAACATGACAAAGCTTAGTGGACTACTTTACACACAAGAATTGTGCACTCTCATGTTTTACAGTAAACTCACCTTCTATGTCCTCTTTTTGATCCAGAAAGTACACAATTATTGTTATTCTAATCTGAACATGAAAAGCAGTACTATTACACGTAACATACAAGGGGTTAATGTCGGGATGAACACAAGAGATAGATCATGTATGAATCTGCAAAAGACACTCTGGAAGAGGAGACAGTCAGCAGAAAAGGGTTATCAGTCCTTAAATAGCACATTAGCTGTGATGATAAAGCAATTTTCTGTTGTCTTGTCTTAGTGTATGGGCTCGAAAGGCCTGCAACAAGGGAAAGGGCAACTAAGATGCAAGCAAACTGAATGCTGCAAGGTAGATGACCAATAGGTAAAGGTCATCTTTAGCTGCAGAGCACAAGTGACAGCTAAACTGCAGACGCGCAATAGCAAAGCTGCTCCCATTCAGAAAAAAGAAAATCCCCATTCCAGATTTGAATTACATTACTAGTGAGGGAGATTTCTAGCAAGCAAGGCAGCACGGGCAGTCAGCGTTGCAATAACTTAACTGTGTGCTTAACTTACTTCCTGTGCCTTGATTTTATCCGTGCCACTGCGCGATAAACCCCACTTTCTTAGTACATTAAGAATCTGTAGACGAGGGACATTTCACGGACACGTGTTGTCATACTGTGACTAACTTGAAACATGTACAAAACCAAACCTTTTCTAGAAGGTTTGATAACAGAAAAACACGTAGCAAGCTCAGTGGTTGCTATAGTAACTACAGGCACTAAAGCTAGCCTCTGTGCGTTAGCGCCGAGCTAAAGAGCTGGGTAGGACTGACTCTGGTGTGGCTGCTGTCTTTGACTTTGAACCACTGTCAAAGAAGCCAGCGTCAGGTGATGGACTGAAACACAATGCGTTGGGTACAACACGCATGAACACATATTTATTGGCGTACGTACCGCTGACCTCCACGCCTTCCCTGCCATCCTGAGCCAGCCAAGGTCGATGCAGCAGTAATGTGCTACCCGCAGCAGCACTTGTCAAGCTAACCACGATACAAAACGGATTTCCGCTCTTGAATTATTTTTCTTTCGCAATAAACCCTTGTTGAATGAAATTACACCTTGGATAAACTGTTTTATTCATGTGACTTTTAAACTATTTTTGTGGTATTAACGGTAAATTATGCGCTTTTTTAATGTTGTTTTTTATATTGCCAGGTTAAAGACAGAATTCCCTTTGCCACTGACTTCCGGGATTAGTAGTGTGATTTAGGGAAGTGACTTTATATTTAGTCTCAAATTACCACCTTACTACCATTGATATAACTAAATGCAAGCTTCTGTCACATATAAATCCTATATGCTATATATATTGTATATAGAGATGTATGCATGCTGTACATAACGTATTACATTGCCCATTCAGTATTTATTTACACTATTTGAATGATCAATTTTCATGTTCTGCTTGTAGTATGATCTGATTTTGTCTTGATATTTAGCTTTTTCAGTTCTATTTTTTGTTGTTTTGTTTGCTTTTGGTTTAACCGTATGCCGTTATCTTTAATAATGTGTCATTGTGTACTTTTTGTCATTGAGGATCCTCTTGAAAACAAGATGGTACATATCAAGGGGTTATTCAGAATTTACAATAATTTGTAGGCTATTTGTTCACAATTAACGTAAACATTTGACTTGTATAAAGATATTGTATGTTGTTTCTTATTGTTGCTTTTTATATATATATATATATAAATATAAATATACACACACACCTACTTGTATGTACATAATAATTCTGTTTATTTTTATCTTTGTTCACCTTTATTATTATTTTTTCCCTGGGGTCTATTTCCACCTTCCAGTAAATAGTTCTTGTGTGTAAGTACACTGAGAACAACCTAAAACCGCACACTAAGACTTTGTATGTGTACACCCTTGGCCAATAACGCTGATTCTGACAGGATGATTACCACCAGCAAGTGGCGCCAGTGGACTTCTGCTGAGAGTCAACAAATTGCACAATGGGTGCTTCTACAGATTGCTTCACTCGTTCCTTAAGCCACATCATTAATTCACTTGTTCTTTGGCTCTGGATCTGTAAACAGTGTACAGTATGAATATATCAGCTGCCCCAAAGTACACTTTATAGGTAGGAGTTGAAATCCAAGACGTGAGCTACACCTTTATAAGCACAATATATCCCACATGTTGATTGTACACAATAAACTTTATGATATAAAACAAGTAGAAACAGCTGAAACAATCATTCAATCACATTTTGCATAAGTTCAACTTACAAAGGAAAGCATACAGCATGGGACACATTAACTCCCAAAATTATCAAGAAATGCAAAATGGGAAAAAAAAGAAGCTCTTAATTACTTAAACCTAGAGAAATTCTTAAGCAGCATAGCTCTCGGCATAAATGCAGGGTACAACATGGTACAAAATGCACACTGTGCAAGTAAAGACGTCTTTGAACCAAACTGAGGGATGTCAGTATGGATAAAGGTTGTCAAACCACTTACATGTATCGTCACTTATACCCAATGCATAGGATGCGATACAAACTCAACAAATGCCTCACACTGCAACACGGAGCGTGTGTGTCTGGCAATTATACCTATCAAGCATTTGGATGTAGCTTAATAATTTGAGAGACCTACAGTACATTAGTCATGGTTTTATCAAACAACAAAAAGTTGCTAAATGTTTGCACACAAATGTGTCCACAATGGCCCAGCTCAGATGGCATACTGCTTTGGCTGCTTCTTCAGACTCATAGATCTTTCAGTTTGCGAAATGACATGAGTGGCTCTGTTGTTAAGGAGTCTGCATTCATGAAGAACATCTGTAGGAAAAGAAATTAGGATTATTAGGATACCACACTGTAAACACAACATAGTTCACGTGCGGCACTTTTTGTTTTACCGTTAAACTGTTTGTAGGCCTCTTCAATAATGGCATTGTTTGATCTCTTTATCTCCCAGTAACTATCCTCCACCCATGGTTTGCAATCAGGATGTTCAACAAGCTGTCCATTCTTGTATAAACCAGCTGAAGATTTATAGAAAGAAAAACAGTTAAGTAATATTTTACTTGAACAATAAAACACAAAAACAATAACAATAAACTCAAGCAGCAGCAAACAAACAAACTGCATCCCAGACATGTCAATAATAATACGACATCCAACAACTGAACTTAATCTGATGGAATTATCAGTCATGATACGATAACACGCTAGTTTAAAAATTTACCTTTGATGGTATCATCAATGTCTTTGCATAACTGGTATAATTCACTCCCACGTCCGACCACTCTTTCCCCTACAATTTTAACAGACAAACAAAAAAAAAGGCCTCCAAATCCAGGAACACATTTGACAGTCTAGAGTTAATGTTATGCAGAAGACTAAATTTAAAAAAGGGAAGGAAATATTTCTTACCATCCAGCACTTTGATGTTAGGGAACATCTCAAGAATTATGTTTCTATATGATGCGTTCCTACACACTGACAAAGAGAAAGTGAATGTGAGTTCAAGATTTTAAATCAAGATTTCCCATTCACTGGATTGTTTTCAAATAAAGTCTAAAAAAATTAAATTAAATTACCTGGATTAGTATAATTGTAAGTGTTGTCTTTAAAACGTATATTTTCTAGCTTTCTCAAAGACTGAAGGCAGTGTAGGTTCTCAATGCTGTTAAAAAACAAAACAGATAAAAGATGATTTCAACATGACCAATTCAGAATATTGCTCTTAAAAATATAATTACTAGTAGCAAAATATTGTGTAACATCAATGACATATTTAATTGTTTGTAGACAATGAAATTTACATTATTACATATTCACATTTGCATTCATCTAGGGTAAGCATCTTGTCAGTGGTTAAACAGTGATACCTAGATATGAGATTTCCAGCCACGTTCAAGCTCTGTACACTCTCACAACTGCGTAGAGGCTCTGAAATTACAAAAGCAATGACATTACATTAAAACATCTAATTATATTCATGATGGAGACTATCTTGATTAGTGAATACACAGCATGGAAATAAGAATATTGCTCCAGAAATCTTACCTAAATTGGAAATCCTGTTGGCAGACAAATTGAGTACAGAAAGATGTCGAAGGGATGCTAGAGGAGCTAAATTTGTGATGTTATTTCCAGAGAGGTCGAGTCTCTCCAAATTAATACACTCCCCAACGCATCCAATATCTTGTGCTCCTGTAAGACATGCAAACAACCATTTTAAACAATAATAGCATGTCTTAAGGCTTAAATTGTGGTATATAAATAAAATCTTACCAAGACCTCTCAATTTGAGGAACAGTATTGACTCCAAGTCAAATTCTCCTGTACGAGACTTGAGCAGGGCAGCAGTAACCTTGTCACAGTCCGCATCTGAGAGAATCAGAGAAATAAGACTGCAAATAACAAAGCATTTGCCTAATATGCAGCATAATCAGACCCCTAATTGTGAGTCAACGCTGCAAGAGCAGGATGCTGGAAGCAGTGTCTGTTCTGTGTGCTGTGCAACAATCAAATAACCCATGCAGTCATCTCTACACAGTAAATACAGATTCAAGCAGACCGTGAATTTTTATATCTGGCAACAACAACTGAGCCTTGACTGTGCCAGCTCCACAGTCACAAACAGGCCGATGTGCTGTTCTGTGCATTGTCTGTATTAAGTTATATTTGGTTTGATTTCCTGAGGCAGAATCATCTCTGACTACACACGAGCACTTTATTTCATGACCCTGCACAAATGCAAACACGGATTCCCTGAGGAGAACTGCGTCACTTGAAAGACAAGCCTCACCGGGTAAAACAGAAATAATGATGCTGTTGGTCTATTTCACAAATCTCCTCCTGTTACATTTCACATTATTTACTTTATGTGCAGATTAAACTCTCTCTATATATAAAGGACAGGCAGACAGGGTGCTATAACAGCACTACACGATGGGGGAACCGGTCGTGGGCGGAATAAACAGGGCCACCAAACACACATATGTCAACACCTGCAGAGAAATGAAGAGATGGTGTTTAGCTTAGCTTGACAGTCAGCCAGCAGTAATTGTTTTGAAGCTAATGCTGGTAGCTACTTGTATCAACGTCGTGAGGGAGCGGCTGTCTGACTTCATGAGGATGATTCAGCAGGATGGAAGTGGGTGGGTTATTCAATGAAAATGGTAATTGTTTTTTTTCCCCCCCCTCTGATGATGACACACGTAAAATGAACGAATACGCTGTTAGCTACAGCTTAGCTCAAACCCCGGCTGGCCAGCTAGTGGCTAACGTAGCAACAAGCTATCCATCACAACTTACCTTGTTCTTTATCTCGCTTTGAGTCCATCGTGGGCAACTTTGCTGCTTAAAAAAAAAAAAAAGAGCTAACGTTACCTATCGCAATAAAGAGGCGAAGACTTTTGGAAAGGCAGTGGTTATTGTTTTTGGAGGGAGGGAGGGGGTGTGGTGGTAAATGTGAAATTGCAATCTGTCCTGGGGGTGCAGTGTGGACACGCTCAGTGTGCCGCAGTAGCACGCAGGTGGATGAGACGGACTTGAGCCTGCAGTCCGGTGTACGGCGGTACAGTGTGGAGGCTGGCAGCAGGCAGCAGGCGGCTGGGAGAGGAGGGGGACAACAATGTTCCCGTGTTTGTTAGATGCTGCTTCCGCGCAACAGGTTCTGGGTCAATTAAAAGTTAGTTTGTTTCTTCTCGCTGCGGCACTGACCTGAAGATGATGTTGTTTGTGCAGGATCTGTACTCTGTAAATGAATATTAACGGGGTAAAATGACCGACACAAGTATGCGAATAGCAGTACTTTTTTGTAGATAAAGAGGGGTAAGAAAAATATGGAAAGTGCCAGAATAATTCACCTTTTATTATTATTTTAAGGCTGTGTTAGTACCTATACACATTACAAGTGATGGTAACTTACTTAAATACTGCAGGCTACATCATTACAAAACTGCACTTTGACTATTTCCATTTGATACTTTATGCACTTCACTATTTTAAGTCGAAATAGGATATTATACACTATTACACTTACTATACTTTTATATAAAACAAAAAAATATGATGCATTATAGATTAAAATACCTATATAAGTGTCAGTTTTATCAACATTAAGCATCCCCCTCCCACACACACACACATACACTATCTAGTTGGGACAGCAGCATCATTACCAGCAGGTTGTGGTTCACATTTTGTTTGTTTATTTATTTATTTAGCTGAGGTCCTATTGGTGTGTCCGGACTCCGGTGGACAGCAGCTCGGTGCGTAAAGAGAGCAGATCAGTTTGCAGTTTTTGGACTGTCTGCAGACATCCTCCACCGGCTCTGACACAACTGGATACTGGTCTCCCACTTTTTCTTTTTCATGTTTTTTTCATGCATCCTCTGCAGTCATGGCGGACATCGCCTATGAGGAGGACAACAACAACAACAACAACAGCCCTTTTTAAGAGTTTGCAACGCCGTCGACCTTTCCCGTGCAGGGACTTTGTCTCCGCGGACCCCCTAAATGCCTTTCATTGAGAAAAGGCTTCGGACGTTCCTTGTTGTGAATGTGTACAAGAGACAAATGATTTGATTAAGATGGGTAATAAGCAAACAATATTTACCGACGAGCAACTTGATGCCTACCAGGTAAGCTTGCATGGCCGTGTGTCTACCTGCAGCATGTTGGAGGATGTATGTCCCAACTCCTGCATCAGAAAAATCCCGTTAAAGCGTCCATTAATCAGGTTCCTTTGTATGTAAATGGACCTACTGCAAGGACCTTAAGTTTAGTTCAGTTAATTGAAAAAATATATGGAGAATTCACGTTTTGTGAAGGGCAAAGTGGAGTAAAACGCTGAGTATAGTTAAAGAACTATTCTTTTTATAATTCATGCATTTTCCATTACTTTTGTATACAATTCCATGACTATCATACATCAATATTTATCTTTTTCCTCTGATATTGACCTCCTGCTAGTGGAAACCCATGCATATTGGATTTAAGGGGCAAAGCAAGAAATAATAAACATTTTGTGGGATAGAAAGCAATGTGTTCAGTATTGATCATCAATGCCACTTGACCTCAGTCTAATGCAAGCCACTCATCTCACACAAGCAAGCAATATCCTACTAGAGTTTGGTCGGGTTATGACTATAATAGAAATATAAAAATATGTACATAGTCTTGATAGGTGGGAGTAGCAGACGGTTTTGATTTCACTGCAAACTGGAGGATCTCGTGTGCATTGTGCCACCATCTGAGAAGATCTGACCTTTTGTTACCTGTAACAATAATCCAGGTTTTCCTGTGAAGAAACACAGGACTTAATAATTTATACCATGCCAGTGTGTTATGCTGTGAAACTCTACTCTCAGGAGACAGTTTAGTTCTCAAGAGCCTCTCTGGTTTCTCCTGCTACTCTTTAAAAAGCGCTTATTAGAATACTGTTGCCTTCTGTTTGCCTAAGTAGTTATTTTTCCTCTCGGGTATCTTATTATTTTAATACATATTTAAGATAAAACACCCAATTCGAAATCAGCTGAGTGAGCTGTGTGTTCACCAAAGACACCCAACTTCCTTTTCTATGTGCAGGCTTTACTTATTGTGTAACCTGACATGATTGAGACTATTAGATGAACAGTAAGATATTGCTTTACATATACTCACACAATAATTCATGAGCCCAGATATCTTCAGTAGGCCTGTTTTGACTTGAGCGGATGCAACAGTGAAGAGGTTTGTTGGAAGGGGTTATTTTTTTGTTCATCACATTGTTTCTAGACCTCAACAGGCTGCACCCTGCCTCTCACAACTCAGACAGAATGGATACAAGAGAAAATGTAAATTGAGGACCCTCCAGTAGGGCTGTTGGGTAATATGTGTGCCAACACATGCATGTCAGACAGCAGCAGATTGTGTTGCCCATGCCTCATCGTTCCTATTGCAAGTGGCAGGTGACAACACTCACACATCATCATTTGAGAGACACCAGAGACCTCCGCGGGCGTTCACACGGTTGTTCACGAGACCTTAGGGGAACAGTAATTTTGTATGACTCACAGATGTGTCATTGAGAGTGTTTTTAGGCCTTTAAGATGAAAATATGTTTTGTACCTTAAATAATTAGTCACAGACTACAGACCATTTTTCAAACGTACGTGTCAGTGCTGTTTTTCTCTCATTGCAGGACTGTACGTTTTTCACCCGCAAAGAGATTCTGCGGTAAGAGTTTTATCAACTGTACCTCTTGATTCTGATGCATTGTTCACAGATGTACTGTAAATCAATTGTTAACCACCTGCTCTAACCATAAGTCTATAATCATAATAATCCCAACATAATAATGCCACTTTCTCTGTGCACTGTTGTTAAGCTGTACTTCAAGTAGACACTGATTTCTCTAAGCATGGTATGTAATACAGTATGTTGAATCAGACTACATTTGGCTCCTGCTGGAGTGATTCAAATTGTCTCTTGTGTGAGGTATGCCAAGTCCTCAGAGCAGACTGCTTCCTACTTGGGAAACTTAATGCTAAGGTTCTTGGCAGCTGCAGTTTGTAATATTTGCTCAAAATGGGGAAATATGAACACTTGTTGTACATTATGATATCATCTGACTTAGCCTTAATGACAGTAGATTTACTTATTGAAGTTTCAAGTGATACAAAGTGAAGTATATGAAGCTATAAGCAAAATTAGGGATTGGGCCTTTTGTAATAGTGCCCTCCCATTTAAGTTTAGTGGCTACTCAGTTTCCTTATACAAACTCAAATTGGCTTGCGGCCATTTCTGGTATTGTCATCTCATAGGAGAGCCACTTTACCATTCAAGTACTACAATAAAGTGCAGTATTCTAAAAAATATTCCCATTCCTGAAATTATACTTAACAAAGAATTACAATACAAACAGCAGCAGTTATATCATCATTTTTGTTGTTCACAGCCAAAAAAACAAATGAAACCTTCCTCTTTATCAGCCATTTGCACACATGCAGGCACCTTTGACCTGCATGAAATACATTGTTAAACAATAAATAAATTGTTATGAAAATATAATATAATATAATTTTTACATCATGTCACAGGCGGGGGGGGTGGGGTGGGGGTTGGGGGTTCTATGTCAATACAGAGCGGGGGGGGGTGGGCCGGTTGTCCTGTAGCAGTAGTATGTTATCTAAGCCTTTGGAAGTCATGTTGACCTTTTGACTGTGGTGTTGTTTTCAGAGCCACAAAGTGTCACATTTCTACTTCTTTCGACATGTGAAAAATGTAATAAATATCGATCCACTGTTAATAATTGCATGAGGTCTCATGACTTACTGGGTAGCATCATGTCTCTCTTCCCGTCACTCACCCCGTCACTCACTCCATGACACACATAAATAAAACAAATTACTTGCTTTTGTTTTTAATGGAATTGACCAATCATGCTCACGTTTCAGTATCTTTTATCAGTGGTTCTAGATGTTGGAAGATAAATAGCTACTTAAAGAAATTACATGCTGAAACTCAAGGAAGTTGCAGTGTGACATTAGACAAGGATGAATTGATCCGGGCATGCAGGGATGCGGGGTCTGAGTTGCTCTTACCCTTTATGTACCTTAAAGGTTGTTTTTGACCTAATTTCCCCAACAGTAGCACACTGCAGACATGTGTGTCCTGTGGTTCTTCTGTTACTAAAATTACACAAACTACTAACAATTGTTGAAGGATTAAAATTCAACCAAAAATCTTGTTTTTTATTTTTATTTTTTTATTTTGGAAGCACGTAATAAAATCAGTTTTAGGGCATAACTTAATAACCTTCATTAAAATCACAGCCGTAAGTAAAGTGTTTTCAACAGGACGTTCTTCAATGAGGCTTCTGGTTTTTGGATTTTCTCCTTTTAACATTTCCCTGCATCAAATGCTTTTTTTCTTTCCAACAAAACAAAGTATTTGCTATTTTTCTCTTCCTTTTCACTTATTAAGAAATTGTGTGCATGTACCTCCTCAGTGGTATTGAATTAACTTTGATTCCAAGGCCATCATTAAACTGGAGACAAAATTGACAATCAACAGAGGGCGTAATTGGGTCCTACACTTTATGACCTTCATAAAACATGCCTTGTTTCTGTCCCCAGCTGCGGATGTTACAACACAGTTACATAACATCACAGAAACGGGTTCACTGATGGTCTTAAGGTTACTGATTTCAGCCTCTCAGCCTTATGTAATATCTTAGCATTAACAGTAGATTATAACATTTCAGTGTTTTTGGTTCTTCAAATTTGTTATAGTTTGGAAATAAAACCTAATGTAAATAGTTTTTAATACATTTGCATACGCTGTGGGTCACGGTACAGCAGTTTACTCGTTCATTTGCTGCAGTGTACCAATGAAACTTCATCATTTTGACAGATTTATCTCATTTAATTGTTGTGAGTTTGTCCTCTAAGACCAGTGTCCCTGCTGATAAAGGGCTCTGCTCTAGCAGTGAAGGTACACGACAGTCAAAGAACAGAGTGAAAGGGGGGGCTGCAGATAAGCACAGACTTTCTAGACATCGTGTTTTTATCATTCATACACCCTCCTTGTAAAAATTCCAAATAAAGTTAAGGTTTTCACAGAGCAAAAGAAGGACAGGAGTGAAAAGGTTGAAAAGAAGAATAATAGTTTTATTAAGGAATGATTTGATTTTTCTGGTCCAATCACCCTGACCTTTCTACAACTCCATGTTTTACTGTCGAGGAAATATATTGGATTTAATTTTTTTTCCAAATGAAAACCATCGCAGCCAGTTGCAAAAGTTCAACAATTTTAATTACGTACATTATATCCCCTTTGCGGAAAATGGAAGATAACAGGACAACCGAAGAATTTGAAGGAATCGGAGTAGAAGTGAAAAAGAAATTGCAAACTTACAGGTTCTCATGTGGGGGAGGACAGAACAAGGTGGCAAACAAATAAAAAATAGGCTTAAGCTGCTCATCTAAAAAAAAAAAAAAAGAACAGATGTGGCACCAGGGTTCAAAATCCTTTTTTTTCCTCAATGTCCCGCAGCTTGGCAACAATCACTTTTAATGATTATTTTAGTCATTTTTTGTGTCACTGTTTATTTCTATCTGATGAATAGATGCTTCACTGTAAACTGTAGTGCAAATGCAAACCTATTTTCTGCAATGGAAATAAATATTAATCACAAAGTCACTACAGGGACATTTGCTGTATAAAGGCTATCTACAGAGGGAGGGAGAAGATCAAATGAACTATTTGCATATATACAAGCTCAAAGGTTTTACATATAAGCCAACACTCTAATCTGTGATCCAGAGAGAAAGGGATTTCTTGCCACCTCGCGTTTTTTTTTTGCAAATTTCGAACATTTAACAATTAAAATTATATTCCATGATGCATAAATGTTCTAATTTAATTTGTAATGATACATTTCAGGCAGGAAGAAAATGCACACACAACAAGCCCTGCCTGGCATGTAACATGTTTTTGTCTATTTCTGATTCATTTTGTGGTCTTGTTTCTAGTTTCTAGTCTATATGTCAGTCGTGCTGCAAGTTTTGAGATGTTAAGTAAAATGTTGATGTTCGTTTCATAGACAGTATATTGTTTCTTCTCTGAGTGGAAGTAAGCCAAAAGCACAAAAAGTGTTTTTTATTTTTTATTCTAGGTTGCATGGCAGATACCATGAGCTGGCTCCACATCTTGTACCAATGGACTACACCAATGATCCTGATTGTAAACTGCCTTTAGCCTTAATAGTCAACATGCCAGAGTTAAAGGTAAAAACATCTTTACAGTACCTCAAATATGATGCAATTAATGTGTTGTCACTTGTAAACACTTTCCTAATCACCCTCTTTTTATCTATAGTTTGTTTTTCCACTATCAGTACGTTCAGTAACAGCACTGTGTTGTCTTATTTTGGATCGTGCTGTAAGGACACGTGTGGCACCTACTGCTCATGTGGGCAGACACCTAATCAATACACACTCTCTTTCAGAGGACAGAATTGATTTTTAACCAGTTAATGTGCCATGAAATGCTCAGCCTCTCTATCCTGACTGATGCATTCCCTCCTATTTTTAAGTACCTTCCATTTGAAAAAGAACATCCAGAATTTTTAGAAATAGCATGTTGCATAACATCACAGCCAACGAGTACCACACAATTTTATATGGGGTCCTTATCCACTGAGGGTTTAGACTCATAATGTGTCCTTCCACTGGGCATAATTGGCCCTTGCCTGTAAAACTGTCAGATGATTGCAGGGCCTGTAAGGTGGCAGGTGGAAGATGGAGCCCACCAAAGGCAAGATTGATGAGGCCCAGACAATATACAATCACACAAAGTCCTCTACAGCTTCATGAATACATTTCCTACTCAGTTTTAATGAGCTGTGTTGAGTCGACTGCACTTACTCAGGCTGCACTGACGTGTCTCAGGATATGCAGTTAAAAAATGGCATTCCTTTAGATGGCTGATTGCTGTTTATTCAAATGGCTTCTTTTGCTGAGCTTCTATTGAGCTCAAACATGCTTCTGACAACAGCTTTACTTATTATTGTGTACTTATATGTATATTTCTTGTGTGAGTTAGTGAGATACCAGGTCTCTTGATGGCCTCTGCTTTAGTGTGAATTTTTTACAAGTTGTGTCAAATCAGCTAATTACCTGGGATATAAAATCTCTAATAGCAACTCATGGTTGAGCAACAGAGGAGAAAATATTGGCTTCACCATACCAGCAAAGAGAGAGAGTCAGCCTTTTTCACTTGAACGCTGTGATCAGCAGAATACACCTACCGGTTTAAACCGCTTCAGCTCAACATGTAAAAACAAAAGGTCATGAAACTCTTATCCAAACCACGTGGTGTACATGCATTGCAGTGAATCTTACATTTACATTAATGTGTATCAGCGTTCACACTGATGTATGTAAATGTTGTTATCCCCTTTATCTGTAGGAAAACCCATTCCGCAACAGGATCGTAGAGTCTTTCTCAGAGGACGGGATGGGGAATCTCAGTTTCAATGAATTTGTGGACATGTTCTCAGTCCTCAGTGAAATGGCTCCTAGAGAGCTCAAGGCCATATATGCCTTCAAAATATACGGTAATGACGAATTTCTAAAACCTCCATTATTGCTAAAATTTACCAGAACTCAATAAAATGTCTTATTATTTGCTCTTACTCTTACAGATTTCAATGTGGATAATTACCTGTGCAAAGAAGACCTGGAAAAGACTCTAAATAGGCTGACGAAGGAGGAGTTGACTCCAGAAGAGGTGGAGCTGGTGTGCCAGAAAGCCATCGAGGAGGCAGATTTAGACGGAGACAACAAACTCTCCTTTGCTGACTTTGAAAATATGATAACTAGGGCTCCTGACTTTTTAAGGTAATGTACCTTTCTTAAGACAAATTATGTTTTAATATGTATTATAATTTATATATATATACACATTAATATAAACGCATTTGTTAATACATTGTATATACCTCATACCATATGAAAAGCAGTGGCACTTTAAAATCAGGCTGTGCATGCATTACCCCTCTTGCTGCAGCGCTGTATGTCCCTGGTTACTTGCAGTTTTCATTACCCAGATGGCTGGTAATCATTTTCATCATTTAACTGTCAGCGTAACAACATTACTTTAATCCTGAGCCCACTATGCCCATTCATTTATATGCAAATGGCCTCACCACTGTCTGTCCCAAGTGAAATTATCAACACAGCTATTCCTGATTCCTGTGTGTTTATACTCGCATATGCAGAAAGCCAGTATGTTTACATGCACAATGACTACTACTGTTTCAATGCTAGTCCCTCTTTTGTCACTCTAGTACCTTCCATATAAGGATCTGAGAGGGCTCTCCGTGGAAAGTCTCCCAGGTCGGCAGAATGGTGAATCTCACGACTCTACCTGCACCCTGTCCTGGCCACAGCACAGTGCCTGTCTCCCACTCCCATCGTCAAAAAAAACATACATCAGTCCTTTCCGGCCTCAGTAGAGTCTGCTTAGTTAGAAAGCAAAACACTGGATAAAGCTGAATTCCCAGGACCCTGAATTTCTTCACTGATGAAGATGTATTTTCCTTTTACCACCTATAAAAGGGCTTAACCTGAATTGGCCTCTCTTTGGAAAATTCTATTCTTTCCACATTTGAAGGTTGAAAAATTGTCAATGAAACAAGTGCAAAATGAGCCAGCCATGATTGCTGCTTATTGAGCACATTCAAGAATAAATAGTATGCGTATCTACCTATATAGCACATGAGATATCCCCAGTGAAGTCTTCCTGTAATGGCACACTAGAAATGTAATATTAAAAAGGACAAAGCTTGAAGTGAATGAGAGCACAGCATGTGCATTAAAGGGCATACAGATATTTTATATGAGCTATGCAATATTTGTACATGCAGTGTATTGCTTTTTGTCATTTTAAGTTGTGTTTTGTTTGTTTGTCGAACTGGAACATGATGACAATCATATCTTACTGTTGTCCAGTTAAATGAAGGGCTCTGTCATCTGAACTTATTTTGGTAGCTTTCATCTTCTGCCTTAGCCATTATCATGAGATATTACATAAAGCCATCTTTTGGATATACATGTTACAGTATTTTATGTGACTTCAGGTATTTGTCTTACTTTGAATAAATGTTTTTTTTCTGTGTGTTTGGAGTGATTTAAGTCCTTTTTTTATTGTCACTTTAAAAAAAAAAAATACATAAAATAATCCTTAAATACAGGAGCTTTTGCTGTTTGTTAACCAAAAAGTAATGATTTTAATTGTCTTTGCCTGACCTAAAAGGAGTTCAGTAATATCCCGTCCATACAACCAGTTCATCTAAACCCACTCACCCATGATGATCAAGGAGTGTGCACAGTAAAGATCAGGAAATGGCTGTGCCTCTGCATAGCCCACCATATGAGCTGTAATAACTTGTTAAGCAGGATGTGATCATTAGGAGTGAGCTGCCTCAGCACTCACAAGCATGATTACATCCAGCACACACACTTCATCTCAACGGGAGAGAAGCTGGTGAATGTGCCCCTTGTCATGTTGGTTGATGATTAACAGGGTTTCTGGGCTGTTGGGTACAGATTTGCATCAGGTACATATGGAGTCCAGTGTACTGTGTTGTTTTGTACAATTTGTGTTTTTTAGCTCAGCTTGTACTAGTGAGTCATACTGTGCTACTAGCCATACGTGCAGAACGTGATTTTGTTATCAGTCGCTAAGATGTTCAGATCATGCAAGAGTCACATCCGAGTCAGCTTTACGTCTTTGCTGCTAGGTGCAATGGCTGCAAAAGAAATGTGACCTGCTTAAATGGTGCTGAGTCTGACAAATACAGAACATTTACAAAGTAGAAATTGGGCCACTTGCTGTCGGCTAAAGCAACATAGTATAAGTAGCAACCAGGCATGTGCATTGCATGTGTTGCGAGGAAACAGGTTTCTTTCCTACTAGCCACTGTTAATAAACACTGCAGGAAGTTGTGTGTGATGGTCTATTGTTCAGACTCGAAAAAAATAAATATGCATGCAGATCAACACCAAAATAGAGCCACTTTGGTGGATGGTGTGACTGTTCTTGTGGACACTGAAAAAATTAGGAAGAGTTCACATTGAGTCTTATTTTGCCCGAAGGAGGAGGATGTTGAAGTCAGTTAAACAGTGTGCAGTCATCAGAGCAGCCAGTTAATTCCTCACTCCATTATCTTCAGTTCCCTTTATGAGGGCAGTATCAAATATTCAGGGCAATACTGTGCTGATTGTGTGGCTTCATTAATTACTGGTCTCACAGAGAACATCTGTTAATTATGATTCCAGCAGAGAAGCTTCTGGTGCAATGTGATACTGGGGCTGTAAAGCAGCCAGTGAGCAACTGTTTCTGAGGTTGAGAGCGAGTGAACAGTGTGTGAAACTCACACTGATTTCGCTCCATGGGACCTTGTCTGTTTTAATTTTATCTGATTTAAGATGGTGCCTTCAGCTTTCACAGCGTGACAATAGTGGAGGTCTTACATACCGCTTGAGATTTTGGTGGAAGTTGGTGCTACTGTGAACTGTATCAATATTTACTGCATATTTTACTTTTTCTTGAATGAAGAGTTTGAAAGAGATTGGGATACTTTATTTTAACCCTACCTATTTAGCATTTATAAGCAGTATATAAACAATTAATAAATGGTTTATAACACACTGTAACACACTACAGTATAGGGACATTGCTAAATGTCTAATGTATTTATTAACAACAATAACTCCTCCTGTGAAGCCTCTGTAACTGGTGCATAAACTTTAATAAAAATGTAATATAACAAAGTTGTCATCATATAAAAAATATGTCTGCCCGAATATGAAATATAAAGTATTTATTTTGCTATATTCATTATATTGAAATACTTATTTTTCCTCCATGACAACAACAAATACTGCTGATGAAGGCCATTAGATATGGCTGAGATGTTTTTCAAATTATTATTATTTCTGAAAATAAACCTTTAAGATTTTAGTGTTTTACACTCCAAAATGTATTCATTCAATGTAATCAATCATTCATTAAAATAGTTATGGATATTTGTTGACAAATACATTAATACTACTTAAATATTAGCGTGTTGTTGAGTGTTTATGTAATGTTTAGAAATGCTAAATAGGGGGTTAAAGTGTTAAAGGTTGTTTTTGTATAACTTTTATTTGCAATCTCATGACTTCTTTTCGTTTTCTCTTGGCTATCCATACCACAGCACACAGAATTGCGCTGTATTTTGCATACTGCACCTCGATCATTGTGTTTTGTTTTGTTAGTCACAGGTGCAGAAACCCACTTATACATATTCAGGCACTTGATATCTTGTTTATCTGTTAAAAGAAGTGACACACATTTCCTTTTGTTTTCCAGTGACACTTTATCATCTGAGTTGCGACAGAAACGTCAAAATACCGTTAATCTTCCAAGTTGAATGTTTTGATATTCTAGTGGTATAATCTATGCTGCTTTGCATTTAATCACTTGCAGGGAAAGCACCTTATTTCCTCATTTCTGCCTCCTAAGGTCTACATAAAACAATAGTGCAGCTGTTACTGTATTCAATTGCTTATAAAGATAACTATGACCCTGGAAAACATCCAATACATAAAAAGGCCTTTGAAGTGTTAGTTACACTGTGGTTTTAGTGACTAGCACTAAAACTATAATTAGAGAGTAAAAGGGCAGCAAATGATAGCAGATAATAAATGACATTTCAACATCTTTGACCCACTTCCCCGTTGCTGTCGTACACAGACATTTGAAATCTGTATGCAAATAAAGTTTCCTGTGAATAAAGCGCAGCATTGATGGTAGCAGTCTGTAGTTAAAATATTCTTTAAAGTTGTAAACACAGTACACCCTTTTTCTTACATGCTGAATTCATATAATCAAGACAATAGTTTTTTTCTTTTTTTGGGTTATTTAGCACGTGACAACAAAATGTAACTCCATCATCATTTTTAAATAAATATATTAAAAAGCAAAAATGCAGAAGATATCATTTGATTAGTTTAGAAACATGTAAGCCCATGTTCAATAGTATATAAAAGACGCTTTGACAGAGTGTATATTAGGTAGGACCACTGTAGTGTCAAAATTAGTGAACATTTGCTTCAATAGCTGGTAACTCTTCACCATTTCCTCTTCACTTCGGGGATCAGCCATTTCCATTTATCATTCTGCAGGAGGTAAAATAAATGAATCAGTAAATAAATAGGGTGAACATTAAATACAAAGAACAAAGTATTTAAATGAAAGCATTTTTGCAAACATAACTAACCTTTAATCCCCATGAGTGGTTATGTTTGGGTCTGATGTCCTCCAGAGGCTCGTAAGTGTTTGGTTGAGGTTCGGCCGTGTCCTCCTGGCCAGGAACCAGCTCATATGTTCTGCCGTGGGTGAAGCGGCCGATGACGGCGTCACCGGGGACCTCGGCATACACTGAATCACTGTGCTCCTCTGATCTGGTTTCAGACAAAGTAGTGTGTGGGCTACCAGGCCTGCCAGCCAGGTGATAGACAGCATTGTCACTCATGTGTTCCAGGCTGTAGCTGCTGCTTGGTCTGTTGTACGAGTCTGTCTTCTCTGGTGGTGGGCCATAGCAAGGGGTTTGTCTGCCAGGCTTGGGGGAAAGTCTCGGTTGCGTCTGTGGGGGCGCACTAAGCCTGTAAGATTGCTCTCGGTGGGAGCTGTTGTCCAGAAGCGGTAGAGACCTGCTCTTGCTGTCCAGCAGGCTGAGCTCAGAGTACACAGAGTCTGGTCCAGCTGGAGGACTATACCTCCTTGTGTTTTGATCCTGGCTTGTGGATCTGTCTGCTCTCCCTGGATAATCTCCTGGTAAATTGTCCTGACAGAGGTGCTGGAATCTCGGTATCTCCCTGGGTGATTGCTTCCTGAGCTGAGCATACAAAACCTTGTCCTGGTCATTCAGGGGGCCAATATCGAGGTGCCTGCTCCTCCGAGGCAAAGGTGGTACTTCCTGTTTGACGAAACAAGCCAAGTCAGCTTACAGATATTGATAAGGTAACAATTTCAGTGTAAGAATAACCCTGTAACTTATGGACTGTACTCACCTCAGGGGTTCTGTTGCTCTTTGGTGGCCGTGTAGGCGGCTGCTCTGGGGCCGGTTCTGTCTGTTGTTTGCTCACGTTCCTCACAGCTCCAACAGTGGTAACAGGCTTTTCTTTAGGGCTAACCTGGATGGTATCATACAGGTCTTCATTCAGCTCCTGCAAGAATAAAACACCAATTAGACCATCATTCTTGATCAATGCTACTTTAAAGAAAGTGACTGAGGAGTTTTGTCTCACCTCAAAACATGAGGATGTCAGATACTCTCCAAAGGGCTGAATGGGGCTTGTCTTGTAGTATTCTATGAGATTAGATACTGTGTTGTGCCCTTCTGTGTCTCCACAGACCACAAACTGCCCTGATTCGCTTTGGTTTATCACAAAATGTCGACACCGATCTCTGCCTCTGCAACAGGAAAAAAAATATTTGTTAAAGCATGTCATATATGTTATATATCTCCCGAGCGGTTTCGTCCAAAAATCTGAAAATTAATTAAATTTAAAGAAGACAAATAAACATGGGTTTCATTGGCTGAAAAGCGATAACAATCGTGGGCTCTTCACAATACTCAAGCTGGTTGATCAGTCACTATATTGAGGCTTCAGAGCAAACTGATACTCACTTGTAAGACAGTATGTATCCGATGGCCTTATCACTGAGCCGGATCAGGAAACAGCCCAGCTCCTTTTCTCTGAGTATTTCTTCAGCATCCCTGTAGATACACAAATGCAGAACTTTAAACCCAAAAACTTTTTTCTACAAGTGTTTCCAAAAATGTGACCATTTGGCCTGAGTTTACAGTAACAGTGAGGTAGATTTTGGGGCGGATCACGTAATTCACCTTGGAAATTACACTGTATTACGAGGCGGATCACGTAATTCACCTTGGAAATTACACTGTATCAATAGAAAATCCATTTGGTTACATGTCTTTTCCATAAACCTGTCATTTACCAATACACAGGTTCTGACGAAACCGTCCCTTACTGTTTATGTAGGTGTCTATGTCTACCAGAGAAGAGGGCAGTAGGTGAGAGTGGGTGTGTTGCCAAGTGGACACTTTTTCCATCGGAAAAAAGTAGGTGAATCCGCAATCCTCCAGACATAACAATTGTATATTTGGTGCCAGAAAAACTACTTTCCCCTGAACAGACAGTCCTAAATGTCTAAATGTCTGATACTTTAATACATTTTCACTTAACATATATATAAACCATATACATTTATTTTCTTGACAAATAAATAACAACTTTTCATTTGCTGCTACTCTCTATTTGGAAGTTCAACTTTAAAATAAGACATGGTAGCACTTCAGGAAATAAGATATATATAGATTATATTAAAATAGAGTTTTGAAGTCAAAATATTAGCTTGACAGAAAATAATAGATCATAGTCCATATACTGAGATGTTTCCTCAATGAACACTTACTTTCTTGTGATGAAGCCCAGGAACCAAGTGGGGAAGAAGCCGTTGTGGACGATGAGTGGCACTTGAGTGTCAATGAACCACTTTGAAGCCAGCTCCCTGAGTCTTCCTTCAGTCCCTTCAGCATGAGAATCCACTGGTGGTTCCCTCTGCTCCATCCTCACCCGGTCCTAATCAGAGCCACACAGACAGCCGATGAAGACAACCCGGCACACATTTCCCAGTGTAAGCAGCGAGGCTGTATTTTCACAGCTTATTTGCTTATTTTCCAGGAGGCGTCAACCAGAGAGTAAAAGTAGCTCAGTGTTCTCATTGTTCCAGATTAAAACTGGTGTTGCATGAAAAACCTGATTACTCATGTGTGTACATTAACTTATATTGTTTAAAATGTACTGTACCATATTTATTTACTGCTAAATTTAACACATTAGTTTCACATGAGTCACAAACACAGTTGAGTGTCCAAAGTCCATTCTCACTCTGAAAATACTTTTGTTCCAACAAGACTTTTATTTACATTGACCTCCTGTGTGTTAATGGCATGCTGATGTAAGGCAAACTATCGCTTTGCATGGAGATAGGTTGTTAATAAGTTAGTCAGTAAAGTAGTGAGGAGGGACCCGTTCTGGTGAGCGCGGTGCTGAGTGCTTACCTTGAAGCAAAATGTGAGACAGGTCCTGAGGCAGGGTGATTTTGTCTGTCTCTGATCCTTTGTCCTTGACCCTGAAAAGTTGCAGATCTTCTCACATCTGGGCTTTTGTTGCTTGTGCAGTGCGCAGCAATTCCTTTCAACTCCTAGAAAAATAATAAAAAATTAACAATGAGACATTATTTTTAAGTTTAATGTAAAGCTCAGATATTGTTGTTATAAGGTGAGTTATTGTTTAGTTAAGATGGACTACATACCTTTCCTTGAGAATGCCAGTGCGTGATTTAAACCTGGTGTCATTTCAGCAGACATTAAAATGCTTCTCAACTTCTGAACAGTCAGTAACTGAGGGAGTATGAACCTACATGGGAGATATAGACAGATGACATTTACAATTACACACTTTTTTCCACCAGCTTGGAAAGCAGCAGTGTTGAGGCAACGGCACACACGTTCAAACAGCTCATTTGCATGGCAGAGACGGCTAAAGGCTGCTGAAGCTTCCTGAAGAGAAACGGAAAGTAAGCCGAACAGAAACTGTGGTTTGTGCGCACACAAGAGCGTTGGTTTTGCAAGAGGAGATGTTTACCCACAGACTCTCTGATTACTGTAGTAATGGGAGATAAATTGCGTCAGCAGTTCATCTTCTGTGTTCTGAACTTGGTTTGCAATAAATTCAGATCAAAGCTGATAAGGCAGGGCCAGATGAGTGACAGGATGGAAATATTTGGGAAGATTCCCAATGTATGCTGAGATTTTTGAGGGCAAACAAAACAAACAAAACTCTAACAAGATGAGACATTTCCCCAGCCTTGTTTTTGAGGTTGTCATAAATAATGGGTAACTCATTCCCCCCATGGACGATGGAGTCGTCATGAATCACCTTTTTTGGTTGCTGCTCAGTGGTGAGCAGGAGCTCCCTGTGGGGGAGAGACAATAACCAGAAACAGTCTGTGTCATATGAGCGGGATGAGACTGCATTTCAGCATTCCCCAATTGTAACATGGCTCCAACTTTGATCTCAGAAGACACACTGCTGCTTTTCCCGACACACAGCTGATCAAATCTGCCTCTGAAAGTGTGATCAGTGTGGCGCTGAACGTATACAGTGTTTATTTTTCCTCCAATTATCATATTATAGATATGATACGCTTATTATCCATCTACACAGGCACCATTTACCCAATAATTGTTCCATGTATGACTAAGTATTGCTATAGTACTGTGGCCTAGAATTTCAACATCATCTCAACAGTGCTGTGCGTCGGTTTTAAATGTCTTTATGAGTCATTACGCGCTCCTCTGGGGGTGTGGAGAGTTTGGGGGTCAAATGTTATCACTAGTTCCGTGTTTGTAACATTCAATATAACATGTATAGTACTGTACTATTAACAGTGTATGAATATGTGGAATGTATCTTATCTGCAGCAGCTGTGAGGTAAACGGATGTATAATAGGAAGCAGTTATCAGACATTTACCAGACAAAAAGCTTCTTAAGATCTTCTTTCAGTCTTCTGGCAACATACCTACAGTATGAAGGGGATGTGGGTCTTTAAAAGGTCACAAGTCAGTTGACGTCTGTAAAATGTCATTATAACAAAATCACGCAGACTTTTGCTTACACTTTTTTTAAATCTTAGAAAGTGTTTCTAACTGAATTCTCCCTAAAGTAAGCAAACATTCAATCCGACCAAAATAATTACTTAACCTGAATCAAAAAGTTACAGTTATCAGAGGTGTTTTTGGTTTTACTGTATTGCAATTATTATTATTATTATATATATTTTTAAAAAGAGTTTAGAAAAATAACAGATGTATTTGCAAACATAAGACCAATCATCGACTGTTTACGTTCTCTAAGACCTACATGCATCATGTCGTAGCATGTTCAGGTTCATCAATCATCCTGTGTGCTAGACCACAGTGTTACAGTATGAGTCACACTGAGAATAACATATAATTAAGTGCATATGAACATGTGATGAGCTGTAGGCTAGAGTGATTTATTGATAAGCTCCTAAAAACAAGCAGAAAGAGTAGTAATAATGATTTAGGTGCTGATCTTGTATTTCAGTATGTCAACTTTTTCTACTTCATAATAACTTTTCAGTTTTTGTTTGCTTTTCATTTCATTTTTGCATTTACTGAAGTTTATGCAAATGCAGGAAACATGGGGAGAGCATGTAGCATGCAGCAAAGGTTAGCCAGTCAAAATCAAACCGGGGATATTGTGGTGACCTTTAGCCCACCAGGATGCCCAACACTGTACTGTTCACTTTACTGCATTTATCCCTGGTTGCATAGTTATTTTGCAGATTAGGATTTTACATTCAACATACATACATTAACTTTAAACTATTGATGTTGTTGTGGGGGAAAGATTTTGTATCTCCAAAATGGCAGCTTTTTCTCCTCAGTAACACAACACGCACCGTTCAAACATCAGATATAGATCTAGTATAGACTGTAGTCCTTCAGGCTGAAAGCATGAAAATCCCCCAAACTGGAAACATGATGGTATCAAATCCAGTTTTAAGACCTTCATAATTTTAGTTTATATTGTGACACAAAGAAACCTGAGAACAAGTTGTATTATTCTAGCCAAGAAGTGCTTGTTGGCAGTGGTGGAATCTACTGCACCTAAGTTCAATGTTCAGCTTCACATTAAAGTTAACATTAGCTGTTCATGCATCAATAATAATAACAATATAAATCTGAAAGACCCATTTGCCTAACAAGAAGGCAGCTTTTACTTTTGATACTTTTTATTATTTATCTTATTATTATAATAAATATAATATAATAATACATTTTATTATTTATTTGATGTATTATTTAATACTGTCAATGGTTGCTACTTTCTTTAGTAAATCATCAGTCTTCCACTGGGGTTCTGCGCATATATTGTAGCTGTCATGTAGCTCTGTTATGTACTGAATAGAATTGGAGGTGACATGTTACATACAGAGAGTGGTATTCAGAGTCTAAAGGGACCCAACAGCACATTAATGCTCCGGGCTCCGGGAGCCCCCTAACAGATGAATCCAGCCATGTTCCCCTCAAAATCTTTGAACATTTTCATTATTTCATTATCTCCAATTATAGGGATTTTAATTCAATCATGCAACTGAATACATCTTGAGTTCTTCACCATTTGTCGCAGTTGAATCCTGTCAGGCTCGCACATCTGCTCAAACACCACCACCCAGCGGCACACGCGCGTCCGTCCACCACGTCACCATCGACGCAAACTACATCTCCCATGATGCCCCCTCCCTCCCTCCTCACCCTCACCCCTCCCTCCCTCCCTCC